GGATATATTCAGTATTTACTTTGAAGAGAAAACCAACCTTAAGAAATTGTTTAAGTCAAGCACGCAGCGGATTAGTTTGACCACTGATACGTGGACATCTATCCAAAGAATCAATTATATGTGTGTCACTGCACATTTTATTGATGATGAGTGGAAATTAAATAAAAAKGTCATCTCATTTGTGCCTATATATTCACATAAAGGGGAAAGTATAGCTAAGGCGCTAGAGAGTTGTTTGCTTGATTGGGGAATAAAAAATATTTTCACCATCACAGTTGATAATGCATCAAGCAATGACATTGYCGTTGGRTTCATGATGAAGAAGGTGGTGAATTGGGGTGGTTCTTCTATTAGGGCAGAGTACATACATATGAGATGCATTGCTCATATTCTTAATTTGGTTGTTCAAGATGGATTGAAATTAGCAGATTCATCAGTTAAAAAGATTAGGGATTGCATCAGGTGGGTGAGGGGTTCTCCATCTAGGTTGAAGAAGTTTAGAGAACTTGCAGATTTGCTTGAAGTGGAARAGAAAAGTTCATTATGTCTTGACGTTCCAACTAGATGGAACTCCACCTATATAATGCTTCGAACCGCAATAGGTTACAGACAGGTTTTTGAAACATATGAGAGTAGTGACACCGCGTTACATTTGGATTTGGGTGATTCGCTGCCTTCCTATCTTGATTGGTTACAAGTTGACAGTTTGGTCATATTTTTGAAGACATTTTATGAGATGACAATTAGGATATCTGGCTCACTTTATGTCACCTCAAATTCTTTCTTAACCGAGATTTCAGATTTGAGTTGCATTATTGCCGATATGTTACAATCTACGTCGAAAGTTGAACAGGAAATGGGTATTAAAATGAAAGAGAAGTTCAGTAAATATTGGGGTGATCCAGATAAGATGAACTTCATCATATTTTTTGGCAATATATTGGACCCCAGAGACAAGGTTGAGTACATGCAAGTCCAGCTCARTCAAATGTATGGTGAGGATCAAGGTAAGTTATGTTTTGAAAAGGTAAAGTCTAAATTGGATATGTTGTTTCAAGAGTATGTGCCAACATATTCCGAACCTTCTACCACTATGATGCCTCCTCCACCCACTAAGTGTGAGAATGTTCCCGTTGGAAGGGTACAATCTAGATTAAAGAGCCAACTTAAGAAACAAAAGATGGAAAGTGGGGCTTCACTCAACAAGAAGAGTGAACTTGAACTTTATCTAGCAGAGTCGACCATAGATGAGGCAAACGATTTTGATATTTTAAGATGGTGGAAGGTTAATAGTGAAAGGTTTCCTATTCTTTCAAAAATGGCTAGAGATGTGCTTGCTGTTCCCATTTCAATTGTGGCATATGAGTCTACTTTTAGTACTAGTGGTCGGGTCTTGGATAATTTTAGGAGTTCTCTATCTCCTAAAATGGTAGAAGCCCTGATATGTACACAAGACTGGCTAAGAGGCCCTAGTCAGCCAATTGCAGTTGAAGAAAACATAGCTGATATTGAAAAGTTTGAGAAAGGTACGACAGTATTTACGTATTTAGTATTTTAGTATACCTTTTCAACTTTAATATGTTTATTTATATATTAAATCTACATACTTCTATAAACGCAGACATGATGAATATGAGAATTGGAAGTTCAAGTTCTGTCAATGACCAAGAGGATTCTCTTCCGGTTCCAGCTGTTGATGTAGATGATCTACAGCTAGATGATATATTGTAGAAGTGGCCACTTTGAATTTTGAAAGGTATTTTATTTCTTTGTACAAGYCATACTAGATAATATACCTCTTGTTTTATTTTATGTTACTTTCTCAAGTTTCCTCAATATTTCAGGACTACTGATCTAAGTGAAGAACAGATGCATTGATGTGAAGACAAGATGACCAAAGTGAGAGTTTGTGATGGGAGGTATAGATACTATAAACAACACAACATTATGGTTACTTTCTTTGACTTGGGTTGAATTTTGAATCTACCTCTTTTCATTGGCCTTCTGTTTCTTTTAGACTATATGTTGTCTGTTGATGTATAAGTGTAATTTAGTGGATTGACTTGTAAAGAAAGAATCTTTTCCATCTATTTGACTTTGTTTAAATGGAAGGACATTTGAACCAATTAGTGGCATATTCTTTTCTTTTTGTTTTGTACTATGATCTTTTATGCAATGGTGTAATGGTGTAGGCCAATTAGTGGCATATTCTTTTATGCTGTACATTGTAATGTTGCATCCATACCAGTTGCTATCTAGTTTTAGACTTGTAGTTGCTGTTTCTAGTTCTAGACTTCTTCTAGTTGCTGTTTCTAAACCAATTAGCTGCTGTTTCTAAACCCATTAAACCCTATTAGCTGCTGTTTCTAAACCCATTAAACCCATTAGCTGCTGTTTCTAAACCCGAACCCGCCCATACCCGATTAGCCCCGAACCCGATAATACCCGAACCCCGAATTATACACTTCGGGTTTTGTTTTCTAACCCCGAAACCCGATCGGGTTGTTCATTTTCGGGTCCAATCCGACCCGACCCGCCCCGCCCGATGCACAGCCTTAACAGAGAGTAGATAAGGATCTTGGTTCCAAGGATTTCAAGAGGTTTAATGCTATGTTAATTCATTTATTGGATTTTTTTTTTCTTTTGGCTATTAGATTAGATTTCCTTTAAGGATTGTTTTTGGATTTTCCTCGGTTGTTGGAGGATTTTGGAAGTGGTTGTTTAGAGACCTTTATATCTTATTTGTAGATATATTCAATTTCGTTGTTGGAAGATTTTATTTTATTTCTTTGTATTGGAGACTATATTTTGGAGGTTTTATATTGCGACTCCGTTACGGTTTGAAGCAACCTCCCTTCCTTCGGAATGAGGGTGTTACAGTTAACCTTTGGAGCCCAAGCTCAAACAAATTAGGCACCATTTGTGCTTTTGGTCCATTGTAACAACATAATCTTTAGAAATAAGTCGGACTCTATTGAGACGTTATTTGCTGAGAAGCAAGTTCAAATATTCGAATAGGGTGTCGAGACAAATCAATAAAGGAAGCATCTCGTGTGAGTTGCCTCTCTCTCTCTCAACAGATAAGTTGCCCGTATGGTATCTGGTCATAATTTGTTTGCCTTAGACAACGTTTTGTCCATTGATTTGGACATATCGTGAGTAGTCATGGTTGTTTACATATTTTCTTATTCCCTAATCAAACAATTCTAATTCACACCCGATTATTGATATCCTTACATTGTTAATTTTGTTATATTAATAATATATTTTACATTTGAAAAAACATAGATTTCAACTTGAAAAGAAAATATATTAATCAAATATCATAAGTATTTTAATATCAATCAAATATTTTTACTAAATCATCTATTAGTTCAAAATTTTGATATATTAATTGAGACATATAGGAAATTAATTGAAATAATTATTTTGATCAGATGGTTTCATCTCTTAGTCATTTCTCTTCCATAATTATGAAAATAGTCATAGGTTTGTAATTGAAAGGTCGGTAATTTATAAAGGGGTCAAAACGTATAGAAAAATTAAAGTTCTTAACCAGGTCCCCAATTACAGGGACCAAATATGTAAATTTGAAAAACACATCCATAATTACGGACCTATTAACTAATTTTCATATTCGGTCCCAGTAATTGCAAACCTGGTTAGGGGCATAAACTATACGAAACAATTTGCGAGTTACTCGAGATCGACTCGGTCAAACATTGGTCAATATTCGACTCGAATAGGCTCAAGTTGAACTCGAGCTTGACTCGACATATTAACGAGTTGAGTCGAGCTACCCAATACTCTACTCGAAAAGCTAATGAGATACTCGTTTTTTTTATATATAAGTAGTTTAAAATATAATAAGTCTTATAATATAATTTGTAAAATATAGTATAATAAAAATGTCTTATATTTTTAGATAGTTGAATAAAATGTGCGTTTTTAATTATAAAAACTAATTAATTTTTTTATATTAAAATCATAGTCACAAAAAGACAAAAAAAGAAAAAAAAACCCTTAAAAGTATTGATGAAGTTATCCCATATTGGAAGATAAATAGTAAAGGAAGGTTGAAGAGGAGTTATAAAAGAGAGGAAAGTCTATGGAGTTTGTAACTTTGTCTTTTGATGATGAATTATGAGGTACAACTTTTTAGTTTTATAAAATTTAAGAGAACATCTTTAAGTTATATAATTTATAAGAGAAAACTCTAAATTGTTTTATAACTTCAATAGGTAAGCTTGGTCCGAGTTTGACTCGAGTTCAAGTTCGAGCTCGATTCGAGTTGGAGTTCGAGCTCGATTCGAGTTGGAGATTAAGTTCGAGTTTAAAATTTTGCAATCGAGTTCGGATCGAGTTTAGTTATTAACTACTCATAAGTTTTCTAGTCGAGTTTGAGTCAAGTATTTTGATACTCAAGTCTGACTCGTATCATTTACACCCCTAGACCTGGTTCAAAAACTTCATCTTGTTGTTACACTTTGACACCTTCGTAAATTATGGTTATACCAATTACCAATCTATAACTATTTTCATAATTTTAGAAGAGAAATGATTAAAAAGTAAAAACCATCATTAAAAAAAAAAGGCTATTTTAATTAATATCGCAAAAGTAGGTAGTCCTACGTTTACCTAAAAAAAATGGTATGGTGTTGTCGGGAACAAGTGGTGGTCGAGCATTAATTCTATTATGTGATGCCACTGTTCCAATGGATGATATCGATGAGGTGGACTAAATTATTCATGGCCACATGGCATGACGTGGAATTTTTGTATTCTTCCATCCACCTAAAATAAGCTTCACGTACACTTCATCCTTTCATTTTATATACATATATATATATATATATGTACATATATATATATACATACATATATATATATACATATATATATATATATATATTAAAAGAAATTAGCAAATTATGGATTTGGTTGCAATCATACGAGGGTTTTTTATTTATTTATTTATGGTTTTCGTCTCTAAATATCTTTGTTTATTAAAAAAAACCCATTTTACATAGATTGAGATCCAAGGGAAAGTACCAAATAAAGTATAAAAAAGCAGAAAAAAAATTATGCAAATTATCATACCGAGATGATTCTATGAATATGATTAAAAAGATAGTTATCATCAATATTCTTAAAAATAAAATAATAATCCTATATTTTTTTAATTGAAAATCGATAAAATATAATTAAAATTTGAACGAAAGAAATAACATAAAAAAGCTCATATTATATATATATATAAATTTGTTTTTCGTGATTTTCAATTCTCCTCCAATATGATCTCATATATCCCTTGTGATATATATTTGGATAAGTGATCAAAATTAGCGAAAACGAAACCTATAAAAGCCATCATGTTTTAAAAACATTCTTCTAATATCATAAGTAAAATTTGGTTAAATGGTTGATTGAACCCGTCTTCAAAAACACCAATGTGAGAAGATATGTTTTGGCTCACTTAGAAACTAAGATTAACAAGGGATATGTGATTGAACCCGGAGCACGTCTAGTATTTGACGAAAGCAAAGGCAATATCGATCACAAGTACAATAAATGAGGAAAGGTTAATTGATTGAGTATATTAAATGAAAAATTACTTTTATTTTAAAGGATATAGAGTTAAAAAGGTTTTTATATTAACGTGACTTTTAAACATATAGTTTTCTAAAACCGCAAGTTTCTTGAATTACATTTTAAAAATAGGTTTTCTAAATTAACTATGGAATACAACATGTGTTTTGGACATAGTTTGATTTATATAATTTTGAATAAAATAAAGTGCTACAAAAGACCAAATTGATTACTTCATTGCTTCATGCATAAGAAGTATATTTCTCTTCGTATGAGAAATTTTGGATAAGATTATGCATCGTAATCCATGTAGGATATAACTTTTAATATGACACATTCTTTTTGAATATATATATATAATTACTTAATTCTTTTATTTTTGTTGATACTTAAATTTATATTTTATTTGAATAAAAAAGTAATAGTTTTTTTAGACTATCTATAGAATATTACATTATATTTCAATAAAGACGATGCGAGAAGATTTTAAGAGAAAATGAGAAAGCAATTGGGTCGACAGAAAGCAGCCAATGAAATGAGAGCACTTGGACGCGCGGACCAATGAGGTATTCCCAATTGTATGACAGTGGAATCTTAATATTGGACGGCAATACCGAACAAAACGCGATTAGACGTTGTCCCCAACTAATTCCGTCAAATGTTTGACTTTCTTGTCCAAAGTATTTGTAACCCTTTTCATTTCGATTGGAAATAATTGAAATGTAAAAAAAATATTTAAATCTTGTAGTTGAATATATTACAAAAAATATATATATATATATTTTTCGTTTTTTAAAATGTTTTAATGGATTCTCTAAAAAAACGAAAAGTGAATGTCATNAATAAAAAATTACACAAAAAATGAGGAATTTTAAATAGTTAATTTGATATGAATATCGATATATTTTTGTTATGCATAAAATACTGTATATTGATGCATATTACTTAAAATTCAAGATTACAAGTAAT